GATCTTTAAAAAAATAAAAAAATAAAAAAAAAAGTTTATGAATCGATCTTAAGAATTTTCAGCAACGGTAGCAGTATCGTCACAAGACTTCATTCATAAGTTCATAATCATAATTTTCAACCATTGTTTGTCTAGCTTCTTCTGGCGCAGAATCATGACGCATGTCACGTCACACACACATCAATGACATAAAAGTCGGATAAATTAGACCAATTAATCTAAAGAAAGTTTGAAAACAATTTGAATTAGTACCACATAATGGAAATAGTTGGAATTGGGAACTTCAGAATGCCATGGAAAAGCCGACTTGGGTCGCATAAATGCCTGATGTGTGAACGTAGCCTTACCTCGTGTTTCCCTGAATTCCTTTATTGTTTTTTCTCTTTACCTTATGCTGTTGATGAGCATTGTAGCGAGCGAGCCATCCCCCTTCTTTGCTTAACATCGTGACACTTCCAGAAGTCTTTGTTATGATGAAGCCAAAACTCCTGTTTCCCTTCAGTTCGTCTGTGAAGTGTTAATGCTTGCATTTGATTGACGTCTCCATGAGGACTCTGGGGGATTGTGTTCAGTGGAGCGTGCGCGCTTTGCAGCATTTAAGTACATCCACGCTGCAGATGTGCATCCTTGCCATGCAAAATTCTAATTATTGAACAAACTCACAATTTCTGGATGTTTTATTTTAATCAGTTTTGTCCATTTAATTTAAAGTTTTCTTTTAATTATTCGAAGTGTGTACTTTTGTAATAGTTAATGTTGAAAAACACACATAAAGCAATGTTTTACCTTCAGCACCACAACTATTTAAACTAGATTTATGAGTTGGTTTGATTCAGTACTGGTGTTTGGACTTAATGTTTACGGATGTATTTACTGTCCACATTTATAGACAATGTTTAAGAAGGCTTGAATAAATAATTATTGTTTTTATTACAGCTGCATAATTCTGCACTGAACTCTGAAAATGAATTCTGAAAATGCCACTTTAACAAACTACTGCTTGTTATAAAATTACTTCAGTAGTACTTTGGCAACATAGAACTGTTTTTCTAGAGATTGTACCACATTCTAAGGCAGTGCTGTCTTGTGCCAAGAGCCTATAAACATTTGAACCGATTATTCGCGGTTCAAAAATTGGTGGATTTTTCTGTGAAAAATCTGCAGAAAATCTGCCAATTTGCAAATTATTTTGCAGAGCATTTCTAGGTTAAAGAAAATTAAGTTAGGAAATATGAGACGAATCTACCTGACAGAAAAAAATTTAGCAAACTCTTCATGTGTTTTTGACAGCATGTAGGTTTCATTGTTTTTAAATTTCCTCAATGGCCAAACTTTGGTGTTGGACTCAATTGCAGCTTTTAGCTTTTTACTATTTTTCTGAATGTGCATATTGTGAAGGTTATGATGATCAACACTCTTCTGCTTTAGTTTAACGAAATGTTCTCTTGTCTTTCTTATTTTGAAGAACAGTTGAGAAACATTATGCCACAACATGTAGGAATCAGGAGGTCATGCATTCTAATAAAAAGTTTGAAGACACTCATCAACTGAAAAAGTCAGATAAGAATATATTTTTTTAAAGGAATTGCTCAGGGATTTTTTTAAATACTTTATGTTTTTCCCTCTGAACAAATGTACTCAAATTAAGGGTTATATTTTAACACAATTTTCAGCATAAGATATGTTACTTTATTTAAAGATTAATTTAGATTTAGGTTATTTACAAAGAGTTTTGTGCAAGACAAAGATGGAAAACCATTTTTTACTCATAAATTAACTCGTTACATCTTTAAACCTGAAAATGAACAAGTATATAAAGCTAATCTCCCAAATAATTTTCATCACACTGCAAACATTATTTCATGTTGTGCATCACCTATAAATATGTCTCCTCTCACCACCGTTCAAACTGTACCGTTATTATCTAACCAGTTAAAATTAAGCTTTGCTTCGAGCTCCACCCAGCTCTCACCACACATGTGGGTCAGCTGGAAGCTTAATGTGGAAACTGTTTGCTGGGGATTTCTACAAATATCACAAGAAGATGCCTCTGTTTGCTTCTTTTTTTTACCAACTCAGAAAAGGTGGCCTGTTCCCCAGCATGATGTCTCTTTAGTTTAATAATTTAAAAGCATGTAAGCCTCCCATGACGTGCCTGAGGTAACAGCATTGATGACTCATCAGTCACCTTTATTGCCATGAATGTGATTTCTATTTTAACGTGCGGTTAAGTCTTTGAAGTGGAGAGCCAGAAAACAGCCTTACCTGTCGGAGAGTCGAACACAAGCCAAAGCTTTCAGCTGCTGCTTGGGAGAGAGTATTTACTGAAGAATCAGATTTAACATCTACTCGAAGAAAGTTACACTGAGGTTGACGGCACATATTTATTTTTGACCCTAATCTATGGTCTACTAAGAAGAAATATTCTTTCTGTGTTAATATTGTGCCTGTACCTTAATATCACATTATAAAAGCTTGATCGTGTTATTAAATATTAAAAAGAAAAGCAACCTCAGTTTAAGCAATTTAGTTTCTTAGGTATTTGCAATTACTTCCATAACGTATAATTTTACAATTATTTACTGACAATGTAATTTTGAATTTAATGACCTTTTTAGTTTTAAATATATTCTATTTAGTTTTAGTATAAATACTGGCTATTTTGACATTGTATTTAATATTTCTATTCAAATTTTAAACAGTGATTATTATATGATTGTAATATTTTTTAAATATATTTAGATAATTTTAGCAACTTTTAAATTTATTTTTGTAAGACATAGACCATTTGGACTTTTAAATATTTTACACACAATTTGCTCTTTATGCTTTAGTTGTATTTTCTTTATCGTAAAATAACCCTCAGAAAATCCAGATTTTGCAGCAAAAACAGAGACCAACGTTTCAACTAAAGGCTTTACTAAAGTGGAGGAAAATATACCAGGACAGATTTTTCAGTTTTTGGTTTTTAGACAGAAATTGTTAATTTTTTTTAACTTCTCCTTGTTTTTTGCAGTGGTGTGTTTTTAATGTGCAGTACTGACCCAGAATTTAGAGATGTTCTTCTCCACTGTGTCCATGTGCTTGCACAGGAAGAACAAGTATGTGAAAGTAATTAGACATGTTGGTTTGGCAACTGTATTAAATATAACTTTACATGTGCTGGACCTCTTCTGTAAAATGACTCTTGCTGTAAAAGAAAAGCTATTTTCTAAAGGAGACAGTCTGTCGTCATGAAAACGGTGATAATGACTTAATGCTGGTGTTGCTGATAGTTGTTGGCACCTCTGTCAGAGAGCGAGTGAAAAATCAGGAAAAATCAACGCTGCTTTCTTTTTTCGATCTCGTTTTCACCTCTTAACGTGCTTTGTGTCCCCTCAGATCATCACCTCTGACAGCTCAGGCATTTTTTTTGGTTTGCATTTCTTCCTTTTCCCCGGAACACAAACCGTGTTACGTTTTGCAGGATAAGACAGAAAGTCGGCTGCTGGAGGACACGTTTCCCTGGGTGTGAACAGGTAAGGGGGGATTCCCTCTCAGTGAGGTCAGGACACCTGCGCCGCGTTAGATGTTAACTCCCAGGTGTTCACACCTCACGTTTTTATTTATTTCAGATTTCACAGGTGCTTCAGATACACTCAGCAGTTCGGAGGAGCCCAGGTACAGTCGCTCTGAGAGGAAGAGGCACAACAGAAAATTCAGTTCTTGTACGGTGAGCTCTTACACAAACTTCAAATATATTTACAATAATAAACAATCAATGATCCATACCATGTGATATTTACAGTTATTACAAACAGCAGGTGTTCCCAGCTGAGCGGGGCGTTTAAAAACAATTCACATTGTCTCGTGTTTTGATTCCGGAGAAGAAGACAAAATAAAAACCCCTCCCTCCGGGGGCGAAAGAGTCTGGTCAAGTTAATGCCAAGAAATCTGTGTAACAATACAAACACTTTTAATCGTGTAATTAACAATCAATAACCACTTCTAGTTAGAACATCTCTGCAGAGACGAACTGAGAAACACTTACAAAAACAGTCGGTTTGTAACAAAATAACCGGTGTTCTCGTTGAAATGAAGGCTTTTTAAAAAAAAGGAAACACTTTTTGTACAGGATCTTTACACAGCCGGAGCTTTCCCAATCGGATCGTTGACCATAGGAAGACGCGTCGCAGACATCAGACCTCACACAGATTGCATATGTTTTTTTCTTTTTAACTCTCTCTCTAAGCTCGCTTGCAGGTTAGTCGTTCCACCTAAGCTTATTTGCATGATAGTAAAAATTGCATACAACAATAATAGTGAAGCTTGTAGCATGATTAGCTTGACGGACAGCACTTTATAGGCAACCTTTAAAGCACGCTTCTCCGTTTAAGACGTTTAAGACACTTTTTGTTTTCACTGCCCGTTGAAGTTACACTTATAAATAGGAATACAAAGACTGGTGGAGATTATTAAAAAAAAGAAGAAAAGAGGGGGGAAAGTGACAAAGTTTCAAAATGAAAACTGTAATAATTACATCAGAAACACTGCATGAACCGCAAATAAATAACGTCAGACAACAGAACATTTTCATCCATTCACATTTCTAACTGTGTGGCATTTCACAAATTACAGTGACGAAGGTTTTGCAAAATAATCTAACATCGGCAGTGCCGTATAGTACAAGGCATTTGTTGGCATAGTTTCTTTAAGACTGTACTTTTTTTTATTTTTACAGGTACAATATAATGTCTATATATATTTATATTTATAATTCTTCCCTAACAGATAATAAGTACAGATTGAGCTCTTCTCGGAGATGCACCTGGGCTCTGGGTGATTGCAGTGATCCAGAATCACATTACGCTCTTTTGTAAAAGAATAACTTATCCGCCAGCAGGCTCCAGACTTGATACCTCATGATTAAGGCCTTGACAACCACTTGGTCCTTGATTTCATTTACTTAAAAAAAACTACATACATAAACACCTATCGAACTCCTGGGAAACTTTTTTTTGTTTGTTTCTTTATTTTTTTTTTGTTTCCTTTCGGAATATAATCAGTAGCTCAAAAAGAGAAGTCAGTGTAAAACGACGTACATCGAGTGCAGCCAGCAAATATCCACGCCAACATAATTACAATAACTTTTTTTTCTTTTTGTGCAGGTTATTAAAATGATGCTTCAGTCTTTACAGTGATTCTTACAAGTTTTACAAAATCCAAAAAGTAGTTCTGGGTTTTTTTTCGGAGTCTGAAATGGGCTTCCAGTGTGTGTGATCACATATTTCCACATAAACACGCCTCGCCGGTCCGGACGCCGTACAGACTGAGGTCACGGCTCCGCCTCACGCTCAGCGCGCTGCCGTCGGCACGGTCGTCGGTCCTACTTGACCTCGTGCTCGGACTCGGCCTGCAGCTCGGCGCCACGGCCCAGGTGCTCCTCCATCTTGATGGAGAAGATGGTGGCGGTGGTCTGCGTGCTCTCGTCCAGCTCCTTCAGCAGCTCCCCGCTCTCCCTGAAGTCCGTCAGCTCCTCCTCGAAGGCGGGGCTGCTGCGGCTGCTGCTGCTGCTGCTGGTGTTCGCTGCCGTGCTGCCGCAGTTGTTGTTGTTGTTGTTGGCGGCGGCGGCGTTGTGGTCCTTCGGCGCCTTGGCGGGGTGATTGACGTAAAAGCGTTGGTTCTGGAAGAACTTGATGATGGTGAGCTTGGGCAGGTCCAGCTGGGCGGAGAGCGTGTGGATGGCCTCTTCGTCGGGGTACAGGCCCACGTCCTGGATGAAGCTCTGCAGGATGCCCAGAGCCTCCAGGGAGATCTTCCCCCCGCCGCCGCGGGACTTGATGCCGCGGCCGCCCTCATCCTCCGTCTCGGCCGGGGAGGCGGTGGACGGCTGGCGAGGCGGCAGTCGGGGGCCGGCGTTGCTCTGCTGCTGCTGCTGCAAGGGCTGCTGGGAGAGAAGAGGCTGGGAGGGGTGGAGGGACAGCGAGGGCTGGTGCTGCTGCTGAGACTGAGGCGGCTGAGCCTGCAGAGAGAAAAACCAGAGGAGGGCAGGAACTGAGAAACTTTTCTGAAAAGATATGCTTTTAGGAGTAGTTCTACTCCTTACTTTTCCTTGGGTAAATTTATTATGAGATATTTCTACTCTAACTTGAGTAAAATTTCTGGAACGAAAACCAAACATGTTTTAACTAAAAATTGCACATTCCTGCAGTTTTTGTTAATGTTTCATAAGTTTTTTATGGAAAGAAACTTTTCTTTTGCCTGATTTGTTATTTTTTGTTACTTACATGGATTATTGTCATTTTCGTCCCTAAAATATCAACATTTCCACTTAACTTTACACTTTGGTCCAACCGATTAAGTCAATTTTAAGTATTAAATGGTTGATAATTTGATCAGTTACTCTGTACCTGAGTAGACTTTCTACTAAATACTTTTTACTCCACTAGGCCTGTTGCAATAAATTAATTAATTACATGATAAATTAAAATAAACACAGTAATTTCCATTTACAGGATTTATCTTTTTCTCTCTTTTTCTAACAGAAACTGGATGACAGTGTTTAGTCTGGAGTTTTGGTCTCAACTGGCCCTTTAATTGAATGACAGTTTCATTTACAGAGACTCCATTATTCATCTTATTTGTTGTTTTATTTATTTTAGACATTTAAAATGTCTTCCAGTTCCAGAGTTTAATGTTCGTTACGATTTAAAGATCATTGATCTTTGAGAATTTGTTCTTGCACTATTATGCTATTATTTCCATCATATTACAACAACAACAACAATATTATCGTTTATCGCTTTAACTTGAGCTGAATCTGTTACCCTGACAGGCCTTATGTGTGCGCTGGTTGGCTGTTGGCTTTACTGGGAGCTGAAAAGCAGCAGCATCACCCTCAGGTACTTAAATAACTCAAGCAGCAGAACAGAAAGAAAACCAGTGTTTCAATTCTGTCCTCAGCAGCTCATCAGGCTCCAGTGGCAGCCAGCAATAATCATTCCTGCGCTCAGTTCACGTAGCGACGGCGCGGCTGACTCGCCGCTGTCGATGGCTTTCGCTCCGGCTTCGTTTTGGAGTCCCGGCGGTACAAACACATGACACATTACTCGTAAAATGTCTCATTGTGTGGCTGGAGAGGGAGCGAGTGGGCAACTCGTGGTCCCTGTTGACCCGGTGAAATGGCTGCTGTTGTGTTTTCATTTCTGACTCAGACGCTGTCGATAGGTGTTTCATAATCAAGTTTGCAAAACAGCACTTTGCAGGGACTCGGCTCGCCAGCTGCATAAATGCACCCAGAGATGTGATTTTACTGTACCAATATACCGAGCTCCGGTAACTCTTGTTGAGCAAATGGGAGTTAATTTGGCCGACGTGTCGCGTTAGTGAAAGACCGGTGGAAAATATTTAAACCCTGTTTTTTTTATGGACAGTAAGGAGCTGCACCATTAAGTCAGAAATAATCTAATTTTATCCATCTACAAGCATTTCTGTTTGCTGCAAAGTCTGCATAAAAACTCCCTCATTCCATATCTGCTGCTAAAAGAAATCCTATTACCTTATTTATATCCCGTAAATGAGAGCCTTTGTGAAACAACTGGCCGTGTATCTAAGGAACCAAAAAAACAAATCAAGCAGTCAGCTGTGGCGCGGACTTTTAATAGGAGTATTATTGTGCTTCATTAAGATGTTTCTACCGTTAACTGAGCCTTTGTGTTATTTGTTATTCATACGCCAGATGTCTCGTATAAAGCAGCTCTGTTAACTAAGTTCAGCCTAATGATATCTTTGAAAACAGCCTTCTGTGAAAAGTAGGAACTTTGAAGTGTTGCCGTGGTTCTAATTTACAAGTGTTCATTATGACTGTTAAACGTTGTTTATTTATTTTCCTGAATATTAGCTGAAAATACATTAAATGAGAAAAATTGTGTTTTTCACTTGTTTTTGACTCAGACTTTCAGGATCTCATAAGCAGATTGTTGTCAAGAGAGTCTAGCTCTGCGTCTTTACAAATTTATTCAGGCTGCAGAAGTGATTCAGATCCAAAGGCAGTTTAATAACTGATTATTCTCTCCTATCAGATGACTCATTTAGCAACTAAATTGTCCAATAAAAGACGTAACTTCTATGAAACTAACCGTCTGGTTTAAACTGTAAGAAAATAAGCACAAGGAAGAAAAGTGTGAAACATATATTTCTAAATGTTTAGTTTAATTTCAGCTATAGTTGTGTTAAAAAAAAGTACAGATTGATAAAAAACATGTGGTCTCTACAAGGTTTTAAATTATTCCCATCTAAACCGAAGTTTCCAAAAAAAAAAAAAAACAACAGATTTTACATTTTTATTGTTTGATAAAGATGAAGCAAAAACAGAAAATCCGAGCATAAAAAAGTAAGTGCACCCCTACTGCCTTCTGGATTTATGAAGCAGCAGCAAAAAGATGCTCATTAGACACTGAGCAGAATCAGCAGCTGCATATTGGAAACTGGAATTATTAAAATAAATTTGCTTTATGGAAAAACGCCAATTTAAAAATAAAACATATGCTTTCTTTAGGATGAGGTGGTTTGTTGGCTGAAATTAGTTTTGCAAAATTCGTGTATTTCACAAAACTGCAATGGAAACACTTTGTTCACATGGATCAGATGATCAGTAGCTGGATGCTACTTCTAGCAGGAAAAATCAAAGACGACGACAAAGTAGGAGGAGGAGGATGACGATGATGATGTTTCTTCACATCTTATTGCGTGAACAAACTTTGTTTCAAAATTATGTTTTTTGTTTTGACTTTATTGGAATATAGACAAAGTTTTGCTCACATTTTTAATGGAAACGTAGCTACTGCATGATCCACAAATCCGGAAAGCTGTAAAAAAATATAGACTAATAATGAACCTGTTTAGCTTTTGAGCCATAATGAATGAAACACTAACCAACATTTTGATTTGTAAATGACGACTCTTGAAAAACTTTAATGTTTCAATAGTTGATTTTTGTGTTTTTGTGATGTAAAGCACTTTGAACTGCCCTGTTGCTGAAATGTACTACATAAATAAAGTTTAAATTCCTGTGACTGCTTGTAGATATCAAGACTTTTGTTGGTTTGCAGGGGAATACGGATGCATTTAAGCTAGAATATTTTGTTATATCTGGTAGTTCATGATCAACTCAATGACTGCTGAATACTTTTGTTGGTGCAACATAAGCCCAAATCATTAACCCTCCACCACCGTGCTCAACAGTTCTGGTGGTTTTACTACAACGAAACATCTCTGCTTTGGTCTGATCTGTATAAATTACACTGGTTAACAGGTTTTGATGCTTATTTTGATTAAAATTAGTGCATAGATTTTTTTAAGGGAGAAGAGGCTTTTTGATGGCAAACTTTCTACGTTTGTTCAGACTCTTTCAACTGTCATGACCTTAAACATTTAAAGGGGTGGTAATATGTACATAAACCCCTTCTATAGCACAATCGAGTCACTATGTTGCCTTTAGTTGACTGAGACTGAAAATTAGATTATAACTCTTCCCAGACTGATGTTCAGGCTCACTAGTTGCTTCTTTAAAGTCATTGCTCATTTCTTTCCATCTTGGCGTTGTGTTGACATGAACCAGTGAAAACCTCGGCTTTTAAACAGGCGGTCCTCCATGTTATATCCTATTATTGTGTGGAATCTGTTGTGTATTCATCAATTTACGTTAAACTGGGACAATTTTTGAACCTAATAAAAAATATTAATTGTATTATATGACATTGTAGGACATAAAAAGTGGATCTTTTGATAAGCAGACACTATCAGTGGGGTTTTCCTCAGTTTGTTTGACTGAACGTCTTGCTCACCTGAAGCTGGTCGGTGGAAACGTGGATCAGGTGTGACGGCCGCTCGTTGTGGTGCTGCTGCCCGGCGCTGCTCTCCTGCTCGTAGATGGCGTCGCGTTCGGCCTGCGAGAGGCTCAGGAACCGACGGATCATGGACAGGTTCTCCCACAGCGTCCGGTTCTCCGGAGACGGATCCTCTTTCCAGCGCAGCAGCTCACAGAGCCAACCCTTAAAGAAATGAGTGAGAGGAAAGATCAGCAAGTTACAGACTCATACACAGGAGAATCAAGCAAAGTAAAGATTTATTTTAAATAAGGTCTAGTTTATAGTGCAAATATATTAACACACTTGAAGTAAGACAAAACTAACAAGTAACTTTTCAGCACAATATAAGAGCTTGTTTTACATCAATAACTCTTTAATATTGACGAAAACTTTATAGTTCCACTGGCAGATTATTTCACTGTAACATGGGAAAAATGTTTTGTTGTAAGTGAAAACGTGTGAAATGGCCACAAACAGATGCACAATTATACAACCATACACTTTGAAAAGCAGAAGTAGAGCCTTCTGCACAACAAACAAGAAAGCAACAAGTGGTTTCTGGATAGTAAGTCAACAACAAAACACTTGTCTTTTCTAGCAGCCATTGCACCGAGCATACAGCAGTAAAACCAGCTGAATTATTGACTTTAAAACTTTTATATCTTGCTGAAAAGTTACTTATAAGTTAGTTTTGTTCAATTGTGCCAAGATATTTGCACTAAAAGTAGACCAAAAATACTTGGAAAGATTTTGTGCATTTGCAGTGCAGACCTGTTGTTATACAAGTTGAAAAAACAACATTTAAAATTAATTTATTAATAAAAAGAGAAGAGGTATTTAACAAAAATGATTTCCAGCTCTAAAAGAAAAACAACAACACACACACACACACACACAAACTGAAGCTGCGGTGTGTATGCTCCTCCTCTGCAGCTGAAGATGAAGACGAGAGTGACTGGAGGTCAAGCGGCACAGCAGGAAGGAACAATTTAATGTGACAAGAAGCACACACTCTCACACTGAGCTGCACCCTCAGGAGGAAACAAGCGACTCGTGTGTTTGAGACGCTCCAGCAGAGGGCCACGAAACACAGAGCTCAAAGACGCCGATCAGAGAAAACCCATTTAACTGCTCAAACAAAACACCATGGACTGCCTGATTTATGACTCGAGATGTTTCTTTAAGGCTTAAAGTAAATAAGAGGTTCAGTTATACCATGAGTAAATGGTTCTGCATGTAAGGAAAAGAATTAAATGACTTTAAAGTGGAGAATTATAAAAGCACCTAACGAAATAACCCCAAAAAATGAGTTTACTCTTAGATTAGAAGGAAAGCACATAATCCAGAAACAAAACTCCACTTTTTTTTTTTTTTTTTTTTTTTTCAACCCCGCTTCTTTCTTCCAAAAAGTCGGGCGATTCGTTTCAACTGAACAAGTCTAAATACATGGATTCAGTCGGAAAAGTTTGAACTAAAATATTTACTGAGATCACTAAAAGAAATTTGGTCAAAATTGTAATTACTTGTACATCAAAGTATCAGATGTGACGTAAAACAAACACTCAACATAAGTTTCAGAAAAATGTAGAGCCAATGCTGAACAAAAACAAAAACATGAGGCCTGTTCCGATAAAAAAAAAAAAAAGGAATATTGTCCAAAACCCTGAGAAGAAATAAAATGAAAAGATATTTACCAGCAATAACACACACACACCAAACATACTGGCCCCATTTCAGCAGGAACCACAAGGAAACTCAGCATGCAGAGATGAGTGAGAGTTATTTTAACTGCCCAAAGCTGCAAAGGATCGGCTTGGCGTGACCCACGGCTGTCATGAATTTGAGCTGGAGAGTAGGTGTGAAGTAGGGACAGCATTAAAACTAACATTACAGCTGGAAGTCGCTGATTTCATGATGCTGGTTTCACTTCCACAAACACGCATCGTCACAGGATGTGCTGCGGCTGCTGGAGACTTTAAGGTGGTTTAAAGAAAAACTGGAGCTGGTGATCGTTTCAATCAACCTGACTGGGTTCACTCGACGTTTTCTAGAAAACATGAGCCAAACTGGATTTATTTTTAAAGGATACTTTTACAAAACAAAGAAAAGCAAAAGTTGATTTCTGCTACTACTCTCAGCTGAGTCACTGAGCTTATATATGGGGAAGAATATTTTTGAGGCTGTGCAAATTTAACATTGAGACCAGAATTTAGCACAAAAATTAGGTTGTCCAACTGTTCATGTTCCTCATTTATTTAACTGTAATTGAAAAATTAACTTACTGTTATCACTAAGAGTTAAATGTTTTAGTTAAAGCAAATAAGCAACTTTTCAGGAAGATATAAGAGCTTGTTTTAACTCAATAATTCCCTAATTTTGATGAAAAAGTTCTAGATCCGCTGGCAGATTAATATGGGAAATATGTCTTGTTAATTATATATTATAATTACACTTTTTGATCATTAAATGAATGCAAACATTTAGATTTTTACTGTAAAATAAACTGATTTATCCTGTTTATATTGCATATACATATTCTTTACTCCTCTTGAGGTTTTACTTAAATATTAACATTAGCTGGGGATTTTCTGACAATCATAGAAACAATATTCATAATGATAATTATTAACAATCAATGTTATTGTTGTTTTAAAATATTGATTTGACCTTTATGAATGCAAATCCAGATCTATGTGCACCAAAACTCACTGCAACGAATAAAAACATTCATGCCTGAGCAAAGATGGAGTTGGCAGCATCTGTAAACCTTTAAGCTCTGCTTCTATTTTCACATACTGATGCATACAGAAGCATATTTGAGAAACTTTACTCGGTTAAAAATTGGTTTGTGAAGTGAAAGAAGTGAAGATTCAGATTCGCAGCTGCAGAGACAGAAGGACTCTTCAGAGGCTCGGTGACGTGGTCGGACATGATGACCTCAACCAGAACAGCGTGAGTGTGTGAGTAAGAGCGAAACGGAAACACCGGACCTCTGCCCAAACTGCGGGAGAGGTGTAAAAGAACGAGGGAGGAAGACGGCGGAGGGCCTCCGGGTGTGAGAGCGTGTTTGTGGGCTTCTCTCTCGGCCCGGCGGTGCATCCTGGCAGCGTGACAGAGCGGCGCTGTAATCTCCCGGCCAGTGCGCGGCAGCACCTTTCATTTCCACGGGATTACACCGGGGCTGCTGGTCCGCGCACAAACACGGCGACACACACAGAGACACGCACGGAGGGCAGAGCCACGCCGCCACACTGCATGCAGGAGATAACTCAGCAGTTTGGTCGTCCCCCGTTCCAACTCCTCCCATAAGCCACATCAAACCCAGGAGGGCTTCTGGAGGAAGGCGAGAGCAGGAGAGGCATAAAGAGCAGAGGAGGATGGAGGAGAGAGAGAAAGGGAGAGATGGGTGGGGGGGATGGGAGGAAGAGGAGGAAGAGGAGGGGAGCAGAGGGGGCCATAAAGCCTGCGTGCCCACCTTGTTCCTTTGCCACGTTTATTGTTGCGTTTTTAATTTGCATGCAGAGGGATTTGGACGGCGCTCCGGTTGGGCTGTCTGTGGTTTCAGCTGATTCGGTATTGAAGAACACACACACACACACACCCACACACACACACACACCACCACACAGCATCTTGTCAAAGCCAGAGAAACAGTACCCAAGCCCAACGATGGAGTAATCCAACTCAAACACTCCCCAAACCAGCAGGATTAAACCCAAAGCAGCAGAGCCAATCAAACAAAGGCGCGACGTGAACTCCATTTCAATGCCAGGAAGTCCATTTGATTAAATAAACTACCCAGAGTTTATTAGTTCACAAGTATGAATGTTTTTTTTGTTTGTTTGTTTTCTTTTTGTATGTGTGTGTTTGGCTTTTTTCTCTCACTTCTCTGCCAGTTCTGGGGCGGGTGTTGAGCTTTTAAGGAAAAAAAAAAAATCATGTACCACAAAAAGAGAAATTACCAAACATTTCTGTTTTATGCTAAATGGATGCCAAGCAGCGGTTAACTCTGCTCCCAGCCAGCACTGAGGACAGTGGACAGTCAGCATTTTCCATGGCAGTTTCAAGAGCTTTGTTTGTGTTTGTCTAATTGCATTGCTTCCACAGGCCAGGCAGAGGCAGCGAGACGGGAAAAAAGATCCACATGGAGAGCCAACAAGGATTTCCTTCAAAATACACAATGCAGTTAAATTAATAAGGAATAAACTAAAATACTGTTGTGCTCAGATGTTTCCATGGACTCAGGGTTTTTTTTTAAATTTTGCTGAAGTTTTTTTAAATTTTTTTTTTTTTTTTTTGACAATTTCTGGTTGTCGATGATGATCCATTGCATCTGGTAGTTTCTCCTTTTGAAATAGAAAAAGTCTAAAGAACTCCCTAAAAATCTGAAAAGTTTGTTTCCACAAGATGGAAAAGTCTTTTGGAGTCATTCTTAAACGACTCTGCATCTAAAGATTATTTTGGTTATCAATTAATCTCTCCATTAAAGGCCCATTCTGCCTTTTTTGTACAATAAAAAAATGCAAATAAACACAAATAATTCAATTCCTTTAAACAATAAAATTAAGAATTTATTGAATTTATTTAGTGAACACTTGATCATGTGGAGCAAAAGATGCATCTGCATTGAAAAACTTCTAACATGTGAAAAGCTCAGCCTTTTCTGCTTGACTTAACATTAATGCAGTGCGGAGCGATTTTGTTGATTATTTTCTGGATTAACAGATTAATAAATGGCCAGCAAAAGGGGCTTAATAAGAGATATTTTTACAGAATTTGATCCAGATGAAGCTAAAACTGGGCCACTTTAGGAGATCTGGGTGGAACATTCTTAAAAAACGTTGTTGTTTTTTTATTTGTTAAATGCAAACAGTTTAAATTCTTTGTACGGTTTTCGCTTAATTACTGAAATTGTCATTTCTTGAGTCACTATACTCCATGATTAATCTGCTACTAAATCGATGTATCATTTTAGCCTTAGCCGAAGTCAGAAAAAAATCCCCCAAACTGCCTCCTTCATATGAAGGAAAACTGGTCAGGATGTTCAGGAACAAACCACGACTCAAGTCTGCATGAACTGGAAACCATCAAAGACAGTCCTGACCTGTTTGCATAAATTGGGTGGAATAATAAAGAAAAGCTTCAAATTCTTCAACTTTACCTCAAATCAACAGCTAGACGGT